CCAGTGCAATTATTTGTTTTATTGTAGTCTCATAATACAGTATAAAGAAAGCACCACCTAGGCTATCATTCTGGGCCATTTTGTAGGATGTTTCATGATTCAGCATCAGTATTTGATGATTTTCACGAATATCCTTTTCCTGTACTTTCGAGACTTCTGTAATCTTAGTGCCTTGGATGCCCCTGATGCAGTTATGTGACTGTTCACATCTACATGCTTGCTTCGTCTAAAGCTCTTCACAGTTCATTCTAACCAACAATGTCCGCATGTATGTATGCACGTATACATGTATATAAGAATATGATAATTTCTTAATCCTTGCTATGAAAATTTAATTATAGCAATATTATCGGTGTGGGTTAGAATTTAATTCTTTTCAGGTTGTAATGAGTGTTTTGGTGGAAGATGTTACAATACTATCTTATGCAGACATAGTGGTGTTGGATCTGGCCCCAGCTCACTGTCCTCTGAGCCAGGAGATTAGGGGGCACTCTGCACCAAAGGTACTTTTGTTTGGCTCAAACACAGATCTGACCATCTGTGCTCATAAAAGATCTTGGGAATACTTTTTTAATAATAGGGCTGCTAACCTAATTTAGTGACCAGATTTCATTATGAAAAATACCATTCTGAAGGACTTAGTGATTGCCCTTCTTTTTCTTAGAAAGTATTCTTTGTCATACTTCCCTGCTTATATACGCATTTTTATGAATTTTAAACTGCTCTAAATCATATCCATGGCCCAAACAAGACTATCTGTGTATATAGTTTGTAATGCTGTAGAACACTTTGCAAATACTGATCATTATAATTATGTCAGTGTGCATAGGTATTTTAGACACTGCCTTGAGATGATCAAAGGCTGTTGTCTGTAACAACAAATGGATGATTTCTTCTGTTCTTCATTTTTCCTCTGGGCATAAAAGTCACTAATTGCGTTGTTCTTCTACATTTATCAGCCTGCAAGCAATGTAAACAAACAAGGAGTAGTTCAGTGATCCATGGGGATTTTATCAGGGTTATGAGATATGCTGAATACATATTATATTAAAGGCCATGTTGTGCCCTTAGGAAATAAATTACTTTCCTGCATTCCTGTTGGAATATTGAAGATCAATTGAAGGTATTTGCCTGGTTCCACTTATATATTTAATACATTCAATACACCGGAGGAAACTATGTTGTTAATTCCCCTATCAGATTGCTTTGTAAACTCTTGCTGGATCAGGATACAGCTAATGTATTTTTTTCTCTTTTATCATAGCTTAGAACAACACAAACATATCTGATAAGCTTGGTGAACTGCTATTTGATATAGTGCTTTTATGTAGATGAGATTAACATAACATTTTCATGCTAAAATAAGACAGAGGAAAATGATTAATAACCTTCTTAAAATTATTTTTTCAAGTTATCTTTAAAGGGATAAATAGCAAATGAGTGAGCAGTTAGGTATTCATTTATATCCAGGGGAGTTGTGCTAGATGATCCCTAAGGTCCCTTCCAACCTCAACCATTCTGTGTGTGAATTCCATCATTGATACTTCTTCTACCCCTGTGCAATACCAGCTTTATCACGCCTGTAAATCAGAACTCTTTGAATTTCTGTGATAGATACTTGAAGTGACGTTGTGTAGCAGCAAAGAACTGTACCAGCTACTAGCAGTTTAGGTAGCTCTAAGGGACAGGGATTTTTTTAGAGATAGAGGAACCTAGAAGTTTAAAAGAGAAAGGCTTTGCGCTCTCTTGCAGGCAAGAAGAAAGGCGTAGCTCCCACTACCTGTAATGAAAAAAGTATTTGTCTGAAGAACATAAAAAGAAAAAAGGAAAAGCAGCTGCTAGTGCATAATCTGACTGGAGTGTTTCAGACTGCTTAACTTTCAGCTCCACTGAAAGTTATTTTCCATGCTGGTAAGAACTGGCTTCCTTGCAGAGGCAGTGAACAGAAAGCCTGTAAAAGGAGAACCACAAAGTTTCTCATCTGTGACTAGGTCAAAACTGGCAGCAGTGCATCCTTGGCAGGGATGCTCACACAGTGGAGTGTGTGTGATATGCAAAGCTAGGGAAATTATAATGTGTTCTGGCTTCCAGCACGGAAAAGGAGGCAGACAAGTGTAAGCCTCACAAACAGTTGCCTGGGACAGGAAAGTGAAAGCAGGAGGAAATAAAGTGGGAAGCAAAAAAGAATGAAGCAGTGTGGCTCAGGCACCCGGGGGCTATGCCCAACTACCAGAGAAAACAGAGGTGCCGCAGGTAAGTATTTGATGGAAAAGTAGAACAGAGGAGAAGCCACTCTCATGTGACTTGGAAAAATAGCAGGCAAAAGAAAATAGCAAGGGAAAATGCTACACACTAATAATACTGTGTTGTTGATATCAGTATGTCTTTGTACCACAGGTTTAAAGTTTGAGGAAATGCAAGAAAAGTTTGGGGAAGAATTCTTCAATATCTGCTTTGATGAGAATGAGAGAGTTCTTCGAGCTGTAGGTGGGACCCTCCAAGACTTCTTCAATGGCTTTGATGCTTTACTGGAGCACATTAGAACTTCATTTGGAAGACAGGCCACCCTAGAATCCCCTTCTTTCCTATGCAAAGAGCTCCCTGAAGGCAATCTCATGCTTCATTACTTTCACCCACATCATATTGTGGGATTTGCAATGATGGGAATGATAAAGGCGGCAGCAAAGAAAATTTACCGGTTGGAGGTGGAAGTAGAGCAGATCACTAGTGATAAACTGTGCTCAGAGGGGACAAACCCAGGTAACTGCAGCTGTCTGACTTTCCTTATCAAGGAACATGAAAATGCAAATATCACAAAAACACTTCCACCAGGAACATCCCAGTCTCCCTTGGACCTGAGGATTAGCATCAGCACCTTCTGCAGAGCTTTCCCCTTCCACCTGATGTTTGATCCAAACATGTTGATTCTGCAGCTTGGAGAAGGTCTTCGGAAGCAGCTCAGATGTGATACTCATAAAACACTGAAATTCCAGGACTGCTTTGACATAGTTTCCCCTAAGATCAGCGCCACGTTTGAACGAGTCCTCATGAGATTATCTACTCCCTTTGTGATTCGGACCAAACTTGAGGATTCTGGCTCTGAGAATAAAGATAAGGTAAGAGCATTAATTTGGAATGGGGTGTGTGTGTATGCCGGTGTGGGAGAGGTTTGCTTGTTTGGAAAGAGGCTCAAGTCCTGTGTGTTCTAGAAATCTCACTTATACCTTCCAAACCTAGGATAAGTGGTATTCCCCCCAGGCAAGTAAATATTTTCCTAGATTATTTATAAGCTTCATGTGTGATGTTCAGACATTGCCATTCTGAAAAATTCTATACTGCAGAATTCTGTGATACTATTTAAATCAAAGGGTGGAGAATTTTACAAAATGCTTATATCTAATCCTGAATTTCGCCTCAGCTATATTGGAGTAACAATAATAGTCATTAAACCATTTACTGGGAAGTAACTTTGGATGGAGTTTGTCTTGTTACATACCCTTAAATTATGGTAGATTTTTGGTATTAAGTGGGATCCTAGCTTTTTTCACTGAAATACTTCATGCTTACATTGAAAGCCTGTGCTTGGGTACCTTGGAAATACTGTTGCCCTATATAAAGGAATTATTGATTTTCAGGTTTTTAAGAGTTTCCTAAGAGTGTCACGATTTAGGTGGTCTGGAAATGGATTGTGAAACTCCACCTCAATTTTCCTACCTATGCTGGGCCACAGTTTCAGAAAGACTCCCATGGTAGCTGCATACTGGGTTCTTTAGAAATATTTCCAGTTCCTCTTTGGCCCTGTTTTCTGGCACTGATAAAAATGTTTCTGCTTCATTTTCCCCTGGAAACAACATGTTCCCCCAAGAGATGCAAACTAGTGCCTCTCATTTTGTATTAATGGATGTAATTCAGCCTATTTAAAACCAGAAGGGAGTTTATTTTACAGATTCTGTCCTCTTAATGGATGTAATTCAGCCTATTTAAAGGGAGTTTATTTCACAGATTCTGTCCTTGAACTCACCCTATCCTATAATTATGAAGAAGAAATGTGGATATGTTGTGGGAAAAGTTCAGAGTTGTTGGATCTGAGCTACTGTTAACCACAATCCTGTCTGCTTTTAGAGGAGGCTTATGATGTCCTTCTACCCTTGGGCGCTGCCAGTCTCTCTGGGAGTCCTGTTCTGCTGTAGAACAGAGTCCCAGCCCTTAGAGAGCTTTTAGCCCTTTACAAATGAGCAGTAAAGCACCCTGAAGAGTGAGAATGAGTTTTCGAGGGGCTTTTTTTGACTCACAGTTTTCCTAATTGCAAGGAAAAAAAAAAAAAAAAAAAAAGATTAGCCAGTCTCCTACTCTGTTATGTGGCCAGGTCTGGACACTTGTGGCTCATTGGAGAGGTGGCAGGGAGTGAAGTTTGCTGTTTGCTAGAAGCAGGTTTTAGCAGGTGGTTGGAAAACCGCTGAGTTTTCAGAAGCCTGTTCTGTACCATCAAGCTGTTCTGCCTTGAGCATCTCCTTGCATTACTGTGGCTTTTGTACCTTGTCTTTTGACCAGGTGGGTAATGAACCAAGTCAGCGATGGGCCTATCTGTGACTCCAGGTAGGGAATGTTCTGGGTCTTAGTGTTATGTGTAAAGTCAGCCCTTGTATAGAAAGCATGAACACTAACAGTGAAATAGCAATTTGGATACTCTTGAGAAGCAACTAAAGGGGAGCAGCAGTAAAGGAAATCCTCTATCTGTTGGCAATTAGAAGACAAATTGTGTCTGGAGCAGAAAGGTGTTAATGAAATAAAAGAGGATATTGGGGAGTTGCAGGAAATGCAGGGTAAACACTATGCTGCAGGCACTGGCATTAATTTGAGAATGTCAGATTGTCTTTAAAAGTGTTTCCTCCTGAATCACTCATGTTATGAATACTTTCCAAAAGTTTATTTCTGTGAGTAGCTAGAAGTTTACACAAAGCTTAGTGTGTGGTGCATTTTACTGCTTCTCCTCTTTATTTGCAAAAATAAAGGTTGCACACATTCAGACACGTCACAGTTATCTTGCTTTCCTAGACTGCTAGAGGAGGAACTTTGCAATACTCTCTCTCATGCTCAAGTTCTTGATTTTCTCCTGGATATACAAAATGGACCGAGCTTTGGGAGCTTCATGCTCTGTTATTTTCCCAAAGCTTTAAGCACTCATGGAGCATTTTGAAATGCTTTTGAATTTTCCAACTTTTGTTCGAAAATTGAGTACTGGATGGGTAGATAGCTACTTCCTGTTTTAATTCGTTTAGTGTATTTCTCTGTTTTGAAATACTGAACCTCTCTTCAGTTAATACTGTATTCCACTGACAACTGTGTATTTCTGAGTATTTGCTAGAAAATTCTGAATTGGCAACAATCTCAATTCTTTTAATATTTGGTTATTTTAAGTGGCAATTGAAGGGAGACATCCCAGACAAGTCTGCCACAGATTTTAAGCTGCTCAAATCTATCAGTGTTTCCTCAAGAGTAAAAAGAAAAGAAAAAATTTTAAAACATTTGATGAACCGAGGACCTTTCAGAGTCTCTTCAAAGCACTTTTATCTTCATGTCAATGCATGAGATATTTTTAGGCTTGCAGTGGGTAAGACGGAATAACAAAACAGTTTTCTTTTAGTTAGTCCTGACACCAGCTCTGTGTTCAGATGAAAGCAAGGCACAAATTGCGATCTTTTCTTAACTCAGCACCCCTGAAGACAAACGAAAAAGAAAAAAAGAAAACCTGTTCTGAGATTCAGGGTATTGGCACTTGTCCCACTTCTGCAAAGGCTCATTTAGGTGCTTTGGTTTACTGGGGGCTGAATCACTGAAGTAAATGACCTGGCTTTATAACCTATCGTAAGTTTCTGAGGTAAGGCATAGGAGGGCTTACACCTTTGCGGAAGCAAAGCCTAAATTAGGCATCACAACAAAGAAAGCAGCAAGAAGGGAGGCTTGGGCTGAGCCTGATTTCTAAAGGGTTTTGCGTTGTGGATGACTAACTCAAGTTACAAAAGAGACAACGAAGTAAAGCTTTCAAATCTAGTAAGGTTTCAATGGAGTGAAGACTCCTCTGTCTCTTTGAAGAATTTAGCATTTTATCCATACATCTTATTGTCCATATTAACTCATTTTAATGACTTAAATGATTTGTATAAAAATACAATTGTATAATGATTTGTACATTTTTTTTTTTTTTGATTTCGGACTAATCAATACGGTTGTCTTTGCTCTGTGTTAGAAGTTCATTCTGGAGAAAAAGAAAACTTCTCACAGTGTGTAAAATTTTCTGCTATCACAATGCATAGAGCGAACTGCAGAATTATGCATGAGAGCGAGGTTCAGGCACTCAGGGTATTTGAATAGCTGTAGCTTTTCACTTGCATAGATAAAATGTTCCAAATGGCAGTGACGGGGAGAAGCTTCCTAAAGCATCCAGCAGCAGTATTTATTTCCCTTTCCACAACAAATGTAGCATTTGCTGACTACATGCTACATTCAAAGAATGTGGTTTTTTTTCTTTTTTTGCTGTAGTAAATTTACTAATATTTGATTTCATCTTTCACTTTAATATTATGATTTCAGATTTTTTTTTTAACATTAGGCCCAAAACTGTGCTGCCGGCTTCACAGAGAAATAAAAATGCATCATTTTCTCAGCAAGCTTTGGTTAATTTTATGTGTCACCAGCTGTTCTTTGGAGCTCTGAACATTTAGAGGCCCTCGTTGTTCTAGGCACTACATGCATAAAAAAGAAAAACTTCCACTCTGAATGGTGTGGCCTTGGTTTCATCCCCATTTTCAACACCAATCACAGTCCTGGGCCATAAATCAAATGTTTTGATGTTTGCTTGACTGAGTTTTGAATCTCCATTGTAGAGTGGACACATTTAAAGGAACATGTGGCCAGTGCAGGCTTTGGTTCTGCAAAAAGGTAGGAAGTTGTTTAAAGTTGTTAGGTCAGCAATCTCCCTGAATTTATTCAAAGCCGTTTGCAATTAAACAGTGTTGTTAAGAATATAGAGAAATAGAACCAAACTGCATAATCTAACAGGGTGTAATGATTTGCTAGATCTTTTCTTACCTCAAATTTTCCAGCCTTTCTTCCCTCCTTCCATCCTGCCTCTTTGATTGATCAAATTATCTACACTTAAGCACTGATCTTTTTTCTTGTTCTTATTCTGCACATTCAGGATTTTCTCTATGAACAATTATGATTGATCAGATTTGCCAGTATGTGCACAACTCTTTAGATGTATGGAAGCTAAATGTGATCTGAGTTTCCAGTTTTCTCATATAGTAAATTCCTAATGCTGCCTGTTGTTTATATTAGCATGCTACCTAGATACTGAAAGAAGTAGTAGGGTCCTGTTTTTCTACTTCTTGTATGAGCATTTTGCTATTTTTCAGGTTTCTAATTTTTATTCAGTCATTTTAAGTGTTTAATGGGAGAGCCTCACTTGCATTAAATCATGTTTGCCAAATTACTGGCATTGTGCCTAAATAACAAAGTCTCAAATATGGCTTCTTTATCTGTCTAAGCAATCTCAATCTACACCTCTCTCTCTGAGAGCCAAACATTTATTTCAGCTATGTGGGATAGATTGTTTAGAGTGGTTATGACTTCATACAGAATCACACAACGGCTGAGGTTAGAAGGGACCTCTGGAGATCATCTAGTCCAAGCCTTCTGCTCAAGTGGGATCACCTAGGGCACATTGCCCAGGATTGTGTCCAGGTGGCTTCTGAGGCTTTCCAAGGATCAAGATATTAACATATGACTGATAACATTGTACTCCACAAGAATTCGTGCAAATCGATGAAATTACATAGGGACTAGGATCTTTTTTAAGCTGAGAAAGGCTGGATCTAAGTTTACCTGCTGGTGTGTCTCATCCCTTTGGAAACCATGTTAACTTGGATATTTTAGATGTTTCAGTTTTGAGCTTTATTTAGACTTGTGTGGTATCAACAGTTTCCCTTCCCATACAAATTTCTGCAGAACTTCCATTAGCTTCATGTAAAGGTGATTCCTCATTTTTCTAGTCACCTTTGTTGAATTGCATCAGCCTTTGCTGTGCCTCTTCATATATGCTGCTCATTTTCACCAT